CTTTCCCACATACCAAGCAAAGCCCGTTGACTGCTGCGGTTTTCCTGTTAACCTTCAGCAGCAGCAAACAAACTACCCCCCCCCCTTCCAATTCTCTGGGATGATTGCTTTATCCCTCTCCCCACCGCGTGGCTGGTAACAGGGAAGATCCCTGCTAGCCAAACACAAAAAGCTCAGGACCAATTCTCCCCCTCCCCCCGCGCACTTGGCTAACTGCAGGGAAGGATTTCTTTTCAGCCACAGGCAAACAGCCCAGTAGGAACGGCCACCTCTGTCCCCTTAATGAAATCCCCATATTTCAACCAGGTTACCATGAGCGATATCACTCTCCTGAGGATTACACAGCGAGATAAAGAATGGATGTTGCTTGAATGCCAGCAAACACTGGGACCATACGCTGCCAGGCTTTGTAATGCAATGATACCAGATTACTTGCTGCAAGCATGGCGTGGTCAAGTGTCCTACCATGGAGGACGGAATAAGGCTGCACTGCCCAGAAACATTGTGGCAAGGCTTTTGGAGAACCTCCAGGAGAGCTTTATGGAGATGTCCCTAGAGGATTTCCGCTCCATCCCCAGACACGTTAACAGACTTTTCCAGTAGCTGTACTGGCCGCGAATGCATCCCAAGTCCTCAGGGCAAAGTAATCATTAAAAAACGCTTGTTTTAAAAGCAAGTTTTATATTTTAAAAGGTAAACTCACCTGAGGTCCCTTCCATGGAGTCATGGTCTTGGATATTGTCTTGGGAGGGTTGGGAGGGTACTTCAGTCAGGCTGAGAAAAAGATCCTGGCTGTTGGGGAGAATGGAGTGCTGGGTGCTCTCCGCAAGCTCGTCCTCCTCCTCCTTCTCTTCCCCGTCTGCAGAATCCTCAGGTGTAGCTGATGAGACTATCCCCGACCTGGAATCCATGGTCAGAGGCGGGGGTAGTGGTGGCGGCCCCCCCTAGAACTGCATGCAGCTTGGCGTAGAAGCGGCATGTCTGCGGCTCTGACCCAGAGCGACCACTTGCCTCCTTTGTTTTTTGATAGGCTTGTCTGAGCTCCTTGACTCTCACGCGGCACTGATCTGAGTCCCTATTGTGGCCTCTCTCCATCATGCCCTTGGAGATTTTTTCAAAAGTTTTGGCATTTTGTCTTTTCGAACGAAGTTCTGCTAGCACTGAATCCTCTCCCCATACAGCGATCAGATCCAGTACCTCCCGTACAGTCCATGCTGGTGCTCTTTTTCGATTATCGGCCTGCATGGTTACCTGTGCTGATGAGCTGAGCTATCTGTGGTCACCTGTGCTCTCCATGCTGGGCAAACAGGAAATGAAATTCAAATGTTCGCTTTTCCTGTCTACCTGGCCAGTGCATCCGAGTTCAGATTGCTGTCCAGAGCAGTCACAATGGTGCACTTTCGGACAGCTCCCGGAGGCCAATATCATCGAATTGCGGCCACACTTACCCTAATTCAAAATGACAATATTGATTTTGGCGCTACTCCGCTCGTCGGGGTGGAGTACAGAAATCAATTTAAAGAGCCCTTTATTTCAAAATAAATGGCTTCATTGTGTTGACGGGTGCAGGGTTAATTCGATTTAATGCTGCTAAATCCGAATTAAAGTCATAGTGTAGACCAGGCCTGAGGAAAGGAAGAAAAAAAACTTCTCTCTATCCTCCCTCCTCTAGACTCCTCCTGTCCCACTAGAGGGCATCTGTCTCCACCTCAATGCACAGTTATGGGTTCAGGCCTGGACCCTGTAGGGCTGCATGGCAGAGAATACTTGATCCCAGTCAAAGAGAAGGTATCTCTCCTGAGCATACCAAATCCTCCCTTTGTTTCTCCTGGGGAGGTGCTCATACATACCATCTCCATCCCAGTCTACTGCCTGCCATTGTTCCTCTTCCAGCAGAGGATGGTCTCTTTCCCCTACTCAGGCAGGGTGTTCAGGGTGTTTGTATGTCACATGGTAGCTACACACTGCATATAATCCATCATGAGAACCTCAGCAGACTTCTATATGGAAAAGTGGCCCAATTAAAAAAAAATACATCTGTCACTTCCATGAATTGAAGACATGCAATGCAGGCAATGCATATATCATTTGCCTCCTCTTTCTCTTTATTCTCTCATCCCCTATTCATCGTCCTCCAAATACAATATCAGTGTGTTTTCTTCCTATCCCTCCCAGAGACACTATCTCTCCTCTCTTTGCCTCAGTACTCCACGTCTACAAATTCTCCCCCTCAGAATTTTTAAATATCAGATTCTGCTTTCATTCTGGAATGGAGTTTTCTGATTTTAAAGTGGAAAATTCAGTTTTAGCTCCAGGGAGGGTGGGGGGGGGGTTAGGGGGAAGTAGGGGGAGGAAAGAAAAATGAGAAACTAGAATGGAATGTCAGACCTTGATTCCAATAATCTTACCTAGTGGTTGGATCATGAGTCACAGCTCAGTGTAAGGTTGGTCTTGAGCTAAGGGTCCTCCTGGAATCCTGATCCAGAGACAGGCCTCGGTGAAACCCAAGGTCAGAGTCTAGAGCCAAACAATGATCAGAACCAGAGCCAGGGGGTAAGGTTTTGGGGGGATCAGAAGATGGAGGCCAGGCAGGAGTGGATCGGTAATGAGACTGGAGTAACGCTAGTGCAGGGCAAGGGCAGGGTTCAGGTAAAGCTTCGGCAAGAGCAGGAGGAGGAACAGGGGCAGAAGCAAAGTTCAGGAGTCACTGTAGTCTATTGCACTGCGAGGCAGCAGGAGGATTCCTGGCTGAAAAATCCTGTTGCTCAGCTTTGCTTCCATTGTGGAAATAATGGATCCTGGGGTCATCTGACCCAGTTTCCACTTTGTGATAGGTTTCTGATGCATGCCAGAGGGGTGACTCAGAGGAGGCCCTACAAAGTGCAGACTCACTGCATCAGCTGAGTGACCAGCCCTGGTTTGGTTGAGAGTTTGCCTCATAGCCAGGCCTGCTAGCTGAAGCTGGAGCAACCTGGGGACCTTGATGGTGAGAGAATGCTTATATGGATGCTGGACGTACAGATGACCAGATTTTAATCGACCAGACATGAGGGGTATGCAAGATAGCTCCCTTCTGAGGTTTCACACAAAGCCTGTGCTGGGTGGGTATATACTTTTTTCTTCTTTTTCTATAGGAAATCAGACCCAGTAACAACTGAACTGTTGTAAACAACATTTGCCTCCAAACGGAGGAAAGAAGGAAAGCCAATTAGAGCAGCCTGGAGGACTCTGTGTGCAATTTATCAGAGCTCACTGCACTTTACATGGCAGGAAGGAGGGGAAGGTTGGTGGGGACTGCTCCTCTTTTTGCATCTTTGATATTTGAGGGGAGAGAAGTGTGTGTGACCCCAACAGACGCTGTCTTCCCAAACATTATGGTAGCTCCCAGCACAGGTGTCTTGATCCTACAAGTGGGAATATGAAGAGGCCATTCAAACAAGAATGACTGTTAAAGCCATGTTTTTGGTATTTAGTCATCCAAATCCATTTGTCATTATAGGAATGAAAAAACTTGGCAACAGTAACAATTTTAAGATAACATTTCCGCTCGGTTCCCAAATATATTAAAAATAATCTATACAATCAATATTTTTTAAATTGTAAATTCAGACCTGAGTACTCACGTCTATAATTGATGAATGGCTTGATGATGCAGATGATGATCAGGACAACTACTATCAGAATAAGCATCTGGATCCAATCTATGATAGAAGAATAATCCATGCATTATTACAAATTCCAGTAATTATACTACATTGTTAGAAATATATTTCCATATCAGATACAAAAGCTGCTGAAGCAGCTCACATTAGATTTATTTCTGTGATTTTGTTTGATGCAAGATAGAAAAAACAATATGGAGAATATCTTGGGGGTTTTTTGGAGAAAAGGAAAATAATTCACAGTGAACACCTTAGGCTTAGTCCCTGATTCAAACACACCAGATGCTAGAACATCACTTTATGGAGCACCACAAACATTTAACAAAATATTCATCAGTATAAGGTCTCAATCATGCAAACACTTATGCATGTGCTTAGCTTCAATTGCTTTTAATGGGAGTACTCATGGTAATAAAGTTAAATATCTGCTTGCAGGACCAGGAGCTTCACTATGACAGCTGATATTATTTTCATGGTAGCCTAAAAGGTGTGTGTTGACCAGATTAAAAAGTGTTCCTTAAAATATGCTACCTAATGTACTAACAAACATATTTTGCCACTACTGGACTTAGGCACCTCTCTCTAGGTTTGGTGCTATCAGAGGACACTGTGAAACACTAAGTTCCTGTTTGGTTGCTGCCGAACCCTGAAGATGCCTAAATTCACTCAATACCCATCTTATTGCAGTAGAAGTTACCCAAACACTTCTGTTTCTGCCTCTGGATGTGTGCATGGCTGCCTCGCTTGACATTCCCAGATTCCGTCTTCCATCCTAAATCCCTCATGTCTCCTCCGTCGCAATCTCTGCCCCTCAGACTCACTGCACTTCTGCCCAGCTTTATCCTCTTCTACTCCCCTGCCTTGTCTCCTTCATTCCCCTCCTTCTAAAATCCTCCATCCCTTTACTTTTAGCTAATCGCCTCCGAAAAATAAATAAATAAATAAATAAATAAATAAATAAATAAAAGGAAAACAAACTGTGGTACTAATATGCCATTTGCTGCCATCACACTGTTGGTTGTAATAGCCCTTTCCCCGCCATATGTCTGTCTGGACTACTTAGATTGTCAGTTCTTTGAGGCTGGGACTGTCTGCTACTCTGTGTCTCTGCAGTACTAAGCACAGTAAGGCCCATGCTTGGCTGGCCATTAGGCATGACCACAATAAACATGACTTAGACAAATTAGATGTCAACAAGTCACCAGAGCCTGATGAAATACATCCTACAATACTTAAGGAGTGGACTTAGGAGGTATCTGAGCCATTAGGCATTATCTTTGAAAAGTCATGGAAGATGGGAGAGATTCCGGAGTATTCGAAAAGGGCAAATATAGTGCCCATCTATAAAAAGGGAAATAAGGAAAAGTGGGGCAATTACAGACCAGCCAGCTTAACTTTAGCACCCGGAAAGATAATGTTGCAAATAATTAATCAATTGATTTGCAAACACCTTAGAATCATAGTCCTTGAAGATAATAAAGTGGTAAGTAAAAGTCAGGATGGATTTGTCAAGAACAAATCATGTCAAACCAACCTAATAGCTATCTTTGAAAGGGTAATATGTCTTATGAATGGGGGGAACAGTAGATATGAAATATCTTGAATTTAGTAAGGCTTTTCACATGGTTTTGCATGACCTTCTCACAAACATATGAGAAAATGAATATACCGTGCGTTGCATATGAGAAAATGAAGATTTCCTGGACAGACTTCAGGATATGCTTCTGCGGGCACAAAATTCTGAAGAACCGGAGCAGGCTGTACAGAGGGGACAGAGGGACAGTGAAGAAATTTGGCAGCATGTGACCTCCAGAAGAAGAAAGGGAGCATCCATTTACCAGTAATGGAGATACAGGTGAGCAACTGTTTTCATGTTCTCTCCACAGGTACTAATGCGAAGAGTGGACTAGATGATACATCTGAGGGAAGGGAGCAGAAGGAGACTCCACCGATTGGAAGGTATGAGATGCACTGTCCTAGGGATGGTGGTTCCATGACCGTCGCTCCAAAGAGAAGGAGGCGGGTGGTGGTAGTTGGGGACAACCTTCTCAGGGGGACTGAGTCACCTATCTGCTGCCACGACCAAGAAAACTGAGAGGTCTGCTGCTTGCCAGGAGTTAGAATTCACGATGTGATGGAGAGACTGCCGAGACTCATCAAGCCCTCGGATCACTACCCCCTTCCTGCTTCTCCATGTGGGCACCAATGATACTGCCAAGAATGACCTTGAGCGGATCACTGCAGACTACATAGCTATAGGAAGAAGGATAAAGGAGTTTGAGGCGCAAGTGGTGTTCTCGTCCATCCTCCCTGTGCAGGGAAAAGGCCTGGGTAGAGACCATCAAATTGTGAAAGTCAATGAATGGCTATGCAGGTGGTGTCAGAGAGAAGGCTTTGGATTCTTCGACCATGGGATGGTGTTCCAAGAAAGAGGAGTGCTAAGCAGAGACGGGCTCCAGCTAATGAAGAGAGGGAAGAGCATCTTCGCAAGCAGGCTGGCTAACCTAGTGAGGAGGGCTTTAAACAAGGTTCACCGGAGGAAGGAGACCAAAGCCCTGAGATAAGTGGGGAAATTGGATACTGGGAGGAAACACGAGCAGGAGAGTGCAAGAAAGGCGCACTCCTGTCTCACACTGAGAAAGCGAGACAATCAGTGAGTTATCTTAAGAGCCTATACACAAATGCACGAAGCCTGGGAAACAAGCAGGGAGAACTGGAAGTCCTGGCACAATTAAGGAACTATGATGTGATTGGAATAACAGAGACTTGGTAGGATAATTCACATGACTGGAGTACTGTCATGGATGGATAAAAACTGTTCAGGAAGGACAGGCAGGGCAGAAAAAGGTGGGGCAGTTGCATTGAATGTAAGAGAGGAGTATGACTGCTCAGAGCTCCTGTATGAAACTGCAGAAAAACCTGAGAGTCTCTGGATTAAGTTTAGAAGTGTGACGTCATGGTGGGAGTCTGCTATAGACCACCAGACCAGGGGGATGAGGTGGACAAGGCTTTCATAGAATATCAGGGTTGGAAGGGACCTCAGGAGGTCATGTAGTCCAACCCACTGCTCAAAGCAGGACCAATCCCCAGACAGATTTTTACCCTAATTCCCTAAATGGCCCCCTCAAGGATTGAACTGACAACACTGGGTTTAACAGGCTAATGCTCAAACCACTGAGCTATCGCTCCCCGGCAACCAGCAGAAGGTACTAGATCTCAGTCCCTGGTTATCATGGGAGACTTTAATCACCCTGATAGCTGCTGGGAGAGCAATACAGTGGTGCACAGACAATCCAGGAAGTTTTTGGAAAGTGTATGGGACAATTCCATGGTGCAAGTGCTGGAGGAACCAACTAGAGGCAGAGCTCTTCTAGACCTGCTGCTCACAAACAGGGAAGAATTAGTAGGGGAAGCAAAAGTGTATGGGAACCTGGGATGCAGTGACCATGAGATGGTCAAGTTCAGGATCCTGACACAAGGAAGAAAGGAGAGCAGCAGAATATGTACCCTGGACTTCAGAAAAGCAGACTTTGACTCCCTCGGGGAACTGATCTGCAGCAACCCCTGGGAGAATAACATGAGGGGGAAAGAAGTCCAGGAGAGCTGGCTATATTTTAAAGAATCCTTATTGAGGTTGCAGGAAAAAAACATCCCGATGTGTAGAAAGAATAGTAAATATGGCAGGCAACCAGCTTGGCTTAACAGTGAAATCCTTGCTGATCTTAAAAACAAAAAAGAAGCTTACAAGAAGTGGAAGATTGGACAAATGACCAGGGAGGAGTATAAAATATTGCTCAGGCATGCAGGAGTGAAATCAGGAAGGCCAAATCACACTTGGAGTTGCAGCTAGCAAGAGATGTTAAGGATAACAAGAAGGGTTTCTTCAGGTATGTTAGCAACAAGAAGAAAATCAAGGAAAGTGTGGGCCCCTTACTGAAAGAGGGAGGCAACCTAGTAATAGATGATGTGGAAAAAAACTAATGCACTCAATGTTTTTTTGCCTCTGTCTTCACAAACAAGTTCAGCTCCCAGACTGCTAGACTGAGCAGCACAGTATTGGGAGGAGATGACCAGCCCTCAGTGGAAAAAGAAGTGGTTCCTGACTATTTAGAAAAAATGGATGAGCACAAGTCCATGAGGCCGGATGCGCTGAATCCGAGGGTGCTAAAAGAGTTGGCGGATGTTATTGTAGAACCATTGGCCATTATCTTTGAAAACTCATGGCGATCTGGGGAGGTCCCGGATGACTGGAAAAAGGCTAATGTAGTGCCCATCTTTAAAAAGGGAAGGAGGAGGATCCGGGGAACTATGGGCCAGTCACCCTCACCTCAGTCACTGGAAAAATCATCGAGCAGGTCATCAAGGAATCAATTCTGAAGCACTTAGAGGAGATGAAAGTGATCAGGAACAGTAGGCATGGATTCACCAAGGGCAAGTCATGCCTGACTAACCTAATTGCCTTCTAAGAGGAGATAACTGGGTCTGTGGATGAGGGGAAAGCAGCGGATGTGTTATTCCTTGACTTTAGCAAAGCTTTTGATATGGACTCCCACAGTATTCTTGCTGCAAGTTAAAGAAGTATGGGCTGGATGAATGGACTATAAGGTGGATAGAAAGCTGGCTAGATCATCAGGCTCATCTGATAGTGATCAATGGCAATGCTCCTACTTATACAGCCCAAAATGCCATTACCCTTCTTGGCAACAAAGCACACTGTTGACTCATATCCAGCTTCTCGTCCACTGTAATCCCTAGGTCCTTTTCTGCAGAACTGCTGCCTAGCCATTCGGTCCCAAATCTGTAGCAGTGCATGGGATTCTTCTGTCCTAAGTGCAGGACTCTGCACTTGTCTTTGTTGAACTTCATCAGATTTATTTTGGCCCAATCCTCTAATTTGCCTGGGTACCTCTGTATCGTATCCCTACCCTCCAGCGTATCTATCACTCCTCCCAGTTTAGTGTCATCTGCATACTTCCTGAGGGTGCAATCCACACCATCCTCCAGATCATTAATGAGGAAGAAGCAATGGGCTTAAATTGCCACAAAAGCGGTTTAGTTTGGACATTTGGTAAAACTTTGTCATTGTTAGGGAGATAAGCAGTGGAATAAATTGCCCAGGTTAGACAAACACCTGTCAGGGATCATCTCAATACTACTTAGTCCTCCCATGAGTGCAAGAGACAGGACTGGATGACCTCTGGAAATCCCTTCCAGGCTGTCCCCTTTGGAACAAATGGATACACAGCTCTCAGCATCATGAGGACAGGAAGGAAAAAACTTCTTTCTCTTCTTAAGGACACTGTCTCTCTTCTGTCCCACTAGAGGGCACCTTTCTTCACCTCATTGCACAGTTATGGGCAGAGGCCTGGATCCTTTGGTGCTGCATACACATGAATACTTTATCACAGTCAATGAGAAGGGATCTCTCCTGAGCACCCTGCCTTTGTTTCTCCTAGGGGAGATGCTCATATATAGCATCTCCATCCCAATCTGCTGCCTGCCATTGTTCCTCTTCCAGCAAAGGATGGTCTCTTTCCCCTACTCAGGCAGGGTGCTCAGGGTGTTTGTATGTCATGTGGTAGTTGTACATTGCATATATCCATCATGTGAACCTTAGCAGACGTCCATATGGAAAAGTGGCCCAATTAAAAAAAAAATTGCGCCTGTCACCTCCATGGAGTTCGAGACATGCAATGCAGGTATATATCCTTTGCCTCCTCTTCCTCTTTATTCTCTCATCCCCTATTCATCAGACTCCAAATACTGTATCAGTGTATTTTCTCCCTATCCCTCCCAGAGACACGATCTCTCCTCTCTTTGCCTCAGTACTCCACCTCACCTCATCTCCAAATTCTCTCACTCAGAATTTTTAAATATCAGATTCTCTGTTTCTGCTTCCATTCTGGAATGGAGTTTTCTGATTTGAAAGTGGAAAATTCAGTTTTAGCTCCAGGAGTGGGGGGAAGTAGAGGGAGGAAAGAAAAATGAGAAAGTAGACTGGTATGTCAGATCTTGCTTCCATTTGTAACCCTTCTGCCAGGCCGAGATGATAGCAGCAAGGGCTGGGTTCAATAATGTAACGCAAAACCAGCTTGGGCCCCCAACCAGTGACCTGGGAAAATCTTACACACACCCGTGGGTGCCTCAAAGAGGCAATACTTCCCCTCTCCCAAACACAGAGTCTCGGTGTAGCAGAAACTTTTTAATAATATAAGGTAAATGACATCAGCATTGCATTGGGAAAACACCACACTAGGATTCAAAGACCAACCCACGAGCAAAGACCCACCCCAACAAATTGAGCCACATCCTTTCCCTTTGGTTCTTGAGTTCAGCAACCCCAAAATCACCCAAAGTCCCAAAAGTCCAACAACTCAAAAGTCTCTTGAGCTCAGCAACCCAAAAGTCTTTGTCCCTGGTCAATGCAGCCCCACAGTTCCAAAGTTTACCTGCAGCATTTTCCTCCCGGGGTGGAAATGGGGGAGGCAGGGTGTTAAGGGGCACCTTACATGGTCCGAGGTCAATCACCCTGCCTTTTCATGGGGTTCTGCTGTAGCAGAAACTTTTTAATAAAATAAGGTAAATGACATCAGCATTGCATTGGGAAAACAATGCATCTTACCTAGTGGTTGGACCATGAGTCACAGCTCAGTGTAAGGTTGGTCTTGAGCTAAGGGTCCTCCTGGAATCCTGATCCAGAGACAGGCCTTGGTGAAACCCAAGGTCAGAGTCTAGAGCCAAACAATGATCAGAACCAGAGCCAGGGGGTAAGGGTTTTGGGGGGATCAGAAGATGGAGGCCAGGCAGGAGTGGGTCGGTAATGAGACTGGAGTAACGCTAGTGCAGGGCAAGGGCAGGGTTCAGGTAAAGCTTCGGCAAGAGCAGGAGGAGGAACAGGGGCAGAAGCAAAGTTCAGGAGTCACTGTAGTCTATTGCACTGCGAAGCAGCAGGAGGATTCCTGGCTGAAAAGTCCTGTTGCTCAGCTTTGCTTCCATTGTGGAAATAATGGATCCTGGGGTCATCTGACCCAGTTTCCACTTTGTGATAGGTTTCTGATGCATGCCAGAGGGGTGTCTCAGAGGAGGCCCTACAAAGTGCAGACTCACTGCATCAGCTGAGTGACCAGCCCTGGATTGGTTGAGAGTTTGCCTCATAGCCAGGCCTGCTAGCTCAAGCTGGAGCAACCTGGGGACCTTGATGGTGAGAGAATGCTTATATGGATGCTGGACGTACAGATGACCAGATTTCAATCGACCAGACATGAGGGGTATGCAAGCTAGCTCCCTTCCGAGGTTCCACACAAAGCCTGTGCTGGGTGGGCATCTACCTTTCTCTTCTTTCTCTTTAGGAAATCAGACCCAGTGACAACTGAGCTATTGTAAACAACATTTAACTATGAAGGGAAGAAAGAAGGAAAGCCAATTAGAGCAGCCTGGAGGACTCTGTGTGCGATTTATCGGAGTTCACTGCACTTTACATGGTAGGAAGGAGGGGAAGGTTGGTGGGGACTGCTCCTCTTTTTGCGCCTTTGGGATGGGAGGGGAGAGAAGCGTGAGTGACCCCAACAGACGCTGCCTTCCTGAACATTACGGTAGCTCCTGGCACAGGTGCCTTGATCCTACAAGTGGGAATATGAAGAGGCCACTCAAAGAAGAATGACTGTTAAAGCTAGGTCATTGGTACATAGTAATCCAAATCCATTTGTCATTATAGGAATGTGTGATCCCAGCAACAGTAACAATTTTAAGATAGTATCAGAGGGGTAGCCGTGTTAGTCTGAATCTGTAAAAAGCAACAGAGGGTCCTGTGGCACCTTTGAGACTAACAGAAGTACTGGGAGCATAAGCTTTCGTGGGTAAGAACCTCACTTCTTCAGATGCAAGAAGTCTTGCATCTGAAGAAGTGAGGTTCTTACCCACG